TTGCCAAGCGACGAAAACCCAATCCCGATGGCAAACACCGGGGGGGGCGGCTTGTTTTACAACGTCGTTGCCAAGCGACGAAAACCCAATCCCGATGGCAAACACCGGGGGGGGCGGCTTGTTTTACAACGTCGTTGCCAAGCGACGAAAACCCAATCCCGATGGCAAACACCGGGGGGGGCGGCTTGTTTTACAACGTCGTTGCCAAGCGACGAAAACCCAATCCCGATGGCAAACACCGGGGGGGGCGGCTTGTTTTACAACGTCGTTGCCAAGCGACGAAAACCCAATCCCGATGGCAAACACCGGGGGGGGCGGCTTGTTTTACAACGTCGTTGCCAAGCGACGAAGACCCAACCCCGATGGCAAACACCGGGAGGGGCTGTGCACGGGGGGAAGGGTTTTTCCTCTAGCCCCCTGGCGGCAGAGAGGCTTGGGGGACGGGGCCTGTTAGGCGTACGTACTATATAGGTATCAACAAAAAGTCCAGAGTTCCTCTTTGTCTGACCTTGACGCCTCCATGCAGGTACCTCCTAACGTTGGCGACGCCGCTCATGAGATTGAAGTTCGACGACGGACAGTGTATCACTGCGGCCTTCACGACGTAGTCAATACAAGGCAAGAAGGGTTGTGGCAGCGTTGTATAGCGAGGCAAATACAGGCATTACCACCAATGATACTACGGTCCACACCTTGCGGCTGTGGTAACGCGAAGAAAGTATGAGAACTTGCGGCGGCCCTGTAGCCAGTTTGACGAAGGCCCGCCAGGGCGACGCCGAGGAGTTAAGTTGTTCAAACATCGAGCTATTGAGGAACGGTCTAAATCTTGTGAAAAAACGCTTTTTGTGCCCGTGACACTGCCATCACACGCGTGCTTCACGAAGCGTAGGCAATTTCGACTCGTTCAATAACTCATGTGTGCCATCCCATTGATTCGACGCTGTGGAATGGTTTACTACTCGCGGTAACGTAAGACAATCACACCAAACTCGGCCATACATCGGCGGTTCACCAAGCGCCTTCGGTCTGTTGTGCATAAACGATTTCGTACAGCTCTACTCAGTCACATCAATATACACCATGGTGTCAAGCATCATTACGCGCTCTTTCCCCGAGCAGTGGATGCAGTGTGCGCGGTAACGCAAGATAATCACACCAAACTCGGCCATACATCGGCGGAGATGTTCCGATCAGCCATCCGCTTCACCAAGCGCCTTCGGTCTGGGGTGCTTGAACGATTTCGTACAGCTCTAGTCACATCAATGTTCACCTTGGTGTCGCGCATCATCACGCGCTCCTCCCCCGAGCAGTGGATGCAGTGTGCAAAGTACGATCGCTCGTGCATGAGTCCGTAGCGCTTGTACACGCCCGTGTAGGTTTCGATCCTGATGTGACCATGATGTCATGGCGGTACGGTATGGTCGGGCGTGAGAAGGTGAGGCCAGGCATGCCAGGTCGAGTCAATTCGAGTCAACAGGCATAAGGTCTGTGTAACAGACGAAACACGTCTCAAGCAGAGCGGGTTTCGAAGAACATGTACATAGTAATTGACGTTGTTCATGGAACACGCGTCGTCACCAACCTCTTGACTCCCCCTCCAAGAAAACTTCAACCATACGACGACAATGAGTTATACTTCGAAGTAATTGGGGCAATCACATTTGTATCCGGACGATCGTTGTGCTTTCAAGCAGAGTGGTACATTCCAAACACCCTCCCGATTGCGTGGGTGCCGAGTTTCCATCAAGAAAACTACAGTACCTCAGAACATCACCCACCCGCGCTGTACTGCTTCCAAGTCGGTACACCAGAACGCTTTCAGGGATCTGGTCTAGTCTCGTGTCATCTCGAGCTTGACAACTCACTCTGGGTGCAGCTCCTTCACCCACGCGATCTCGGCTAGCGACTCGGACAAGTGCGACTGCACCGGCACGCCATACTTTCGCGACACCTCGCCTAGATGAGCCATGAGCTCCGGTGTGCAGTTGGGCACGAAACGCGGCGTTACGACGGGCGTGATGAGCGGGTCGTCCAGCTCTTCCGAGCCGAACTTGACAAACTCTTCTGCGTCTCGCATGGCGCCTTCGGTGGTCTCCCGGAGGTAGTCCGGCGAGTTTCGGTCCATGCTAACCTGCGCACGGGCACGTTCTTAGGCTCGTGGGGTCGATTGCCGAGAACGTCTATTTGGTGTAGCAGGTCGACCGACTAGTTTCAATCAAGGTCAGAGACCCAGCGTCCCGTTGAAAAGTCGTTGTTGGTCGAGGGCGACCCAGGACGCAGCCAGCGCTTGTGACGTACGGTGGTGATTTGATTTTAGGAGTTTTTTCCGCGCGCGAAGCGCGCGTGCGAAACAAAACGGAGCGATAGCGGAGTTTTTTTTCGCAAAAAAACTGTCTTAGATGGGTCCTTTTTGTTTCCCCGCCTGGGTTCTGCGCACGTTGAATAACACCGCCTGCCAGCCCGAACCCTGAATTATTTACTGTTCTCAAATTGATGTCCGTGTGTGTGTGTGTTCGCACCACCTTTGCACCGATTAACAAGCCGTTTGAAGATCATTTTCGGTGCGAAAAAGTGCACAAGCTGTAGCGTAATAAGGCCATCATTCCGCACCCAAGCGTTTCTCGTTTGGTGCCCGCGTCGCTGCGTTCGGTGCCGATATGTACTCTATTCACAATCCGTTTCATCGATAACTGCGCCAATTGGCGACGTTCTGCAAAAAAAACGGAGTGCCCAAGCCTACTCCTAATAGGTGAACACTTATCGCGTCGTTGTTTCCTTGCACCAACCCCTAAGTCACTCGTTCACACCCGGTTTGTCCTCTCTTTGCGGCGTCCTCCAACTGTCATTTGGGACACGTGTGTGTCGGTTTGGTTCTGCTGCTGCTGTGTTCTTTTTTTGACCGTCCACACCGAGTGGCCAACTTTGGCACGTGTTCAGACCAGCTACCACGCATCTCCTCCTCTACAGCTCGCGGCTCTCACTATCTGCATATCACTGAGGGTGTTCGCGTGTGGTTTGCAGACCACGACAGGGCGTAGTGAGGAGGGGCTCGCGATCGGCGACAACTCGCGTGCTAGTTTAAATATTCTGCTGCTGCTGTGTTCTGAGTGGTGGGGCATTTTTTTCTACTTCTTCATTTATTAACGCATACGGAGTGCTGACAACAACGATTCGCATCAACAACATTTCGGGTGTGTGTACCAAAACAAAAGCAACACATATTCACGGGGGGCGCACGACCCAGCCTACTGCAGGTACTTTCCGCAGCACGGGTTATGCTGTTGTGATGGTGCGCGCGGAAAAACTCCCCCCACTCGGGGGGTCTAGTATTCACGTGGACACAAGCAAGTGTAATCCAAGTCAGGGTCGAATGCACCGGGAGCGAAGGCATGCGCGCCTCGCGTGCTGCTTTCAGCTGGAGACAACAATCGCACAAAAATAAGTTGCCTGCATACCGCAGTCGTGCATGTGTGTTGATGATTTGAGGTATTAGTTGTGTCCCGTTCCGTCAACTAGGACCGACATGTGGACTTTTGAAGGGGTTGAGTGTTGGGTACCCTGTAGTGTCATCCGCACGTCCGGACAATACGGCGGGGAATCACGACAATCGAAGACAAAAATGGGAAATCACGAAACACAAAGCAAGCAGGACAGTAAGTGCGGAGGCAAGAAGCGCCGAAAAAGACAACATGAGACAAAGCTACTCAAAGGCGCCACTGTGCTGTTGCGATAACACACAGGCACAGGTACAGCACAGCACGATCATCACGGCGATACAAAAGTCGCACAACCCGATCCCCCCCAAAATGAGAAGCTGTCAATACCCAGCTATCATAGCGGTTCACTCCGGGTACCAAGCGGAGTGCGGGTCACCACCTAGGCGCAAAGGATAGCTGAGGCAACAAGCCTCGCTACTCGTCAGGCAAAGCACAACAAAGAAAACGTCCCCAACAGAGATGCAAGACGACACACACCGACTCAAGACACTCAAGATCCATGGGGTGAAATGGGACACACCTTTCCCACGTAGGCTCTCTGGCCTAGTCCCCTGATGACGTCTACGAGCACCTTGGTGCCCTCCAGGTGTAAGCTGGCGAAGTACGAGCACGTGGTTGTGCCGCATGTCAAGTGTCGCCGCACACATTTCTGGTACGCCTGTTGACACGCAACGAACACAGCAGCATACATCACGCGGGTTGTGCCGACACCGAAGTAAACGTGCCAAACAGGGCGCGAGTCCGATCTGCACGCTCAAGTCTATGGTGTAGAGAAACTACAGTATACCCGGTGGAATTCTGCTGGGGTCTCAGGAGATGGATTGTAGAAGCAAGAGAACAATGCAATACGAGGAAGAACTACAATAATAGTCTATACATTTCTCCAGAACCCTTGTATTGGGCAGGGTTGGAGCTACTCGGACTACTTCTTGGGGTGTCGTGTGTTCGGAATTCCCGAGTCACTACTTAAGCGTTGATTAGAAACAGCTCACCCACTCAGCCGGGTCGGCGAATCACCTCCTGGCAGGTCATGGCTGAAAACAGTAAGCCAAACGAAAGATGCTATGGTGATGTTGTCCGACCTGAAATCTGGGAATGGCATGAGGTTTGTAGCAACCCGTCCCGACATAAAAAGAAATCTGCGAAAGCGGTTTGAATCCAGCTTAAACCACGTTGGGACATGGTGCTTGCCCCACGGATACCTGATTGAAAGCTAAAGCTTCACTTGTGCGAGGTTCTCGGAGCCAAGTTTGGCGAGCTAGAATGGGACATTCACAGAGAATGCCTCCGATATACAATTTCTAACGTATATGTCCTCGGTGGAATCCAGTAGGAATTCCAACGAGCTTCTTCCAACATTTCCGATCCGGAAATTACTACTATATTGTACCGCAGCGTGAATTACGCGTGCTCTCAACCGTCGCTCCCCAAACTCGGCTAGGAGAAGCTCACAGCAGTGCAGCATACAGCGTCGAAGGTTTGATCGCAAACTGGTCCGTGTGAGAGAGATAGCTCCGAGTGCCGATGTGAAGTGGAGTGTTTCCGAATGCCTTTCGGAAGAAATACCACTCCCTAGGGGGGGGGGACGTACTCTTATGTTTTGCATGCCTTAGCGGTTAGACCACATTGACCACGCGTCCTCGAGAGGACGGAGCATTGTTCCCACAGGACCGATCACCGATGGCCAATCGTTCCTTTCTACTTTGCCAAAGGTGGCTCAAAAATGTCTTCCCTAGTCTGTCTATCC